CCGATTTACAGAGGCACGTTGCCCCTACATGGAGCACAATGCATCTCAAATTTGACTTTTTTCTCAGAATTTGACTTTTTTTCTTCAAAATGTCACTTCTTTTTTTTGATTGTGACTTTTTTTCCAGAATTTGGATTTTCTTTTTAAATCATTTTTGTGACATTCTCACTGAAGAGACTTGCGATTATTTGCCCTAGACTTCTGCTTTCAGTCGTAGTTAATCATGAAGTTATTATCACCCTATCCGATAATCCAATGCAGAGGCAATAATGTAATATAATACATTATTTTATATATATGATATATTTATATATGTATTTTTATATAGTTTTAAAGTTACAACCGGCCCTTTGAGTGCAACCATAATGCTGATGTGGCCCACGATGAAATTGAGTTTGACACCCCTGATTTAGAACAATAATTTCACCTTGTGAAGTTTGACTATGCAAGAAAATGACTGCTTAGCCATTCTTTAAGTTATACGTTTTACAAAATACTCAGAAGTAAAAAGGAGCACAAGTGATACACAGCTTGAAGCAGGATTTGAAAAGGTGAACATTTAATAACATGAAATCATTTCTGAACTTAATAAAGTGATGTTTTAATCCTCCTGTTATCCTTGGGGTCAATCTGACCCCATTCAATGTTTAACGCATCTAAAAAAATGGTTCACATTATTTTTTTTGCTTAGTCCTCACTAAATTAGGAAAAGTCATGAAATACTAATGGGTAAACATAGAATGAACATGAAGAATGATATTGAGGTGACTATTACATGCAAATGTATCATTGAAAACAAAACTACCCTCTACTTTAGTTATTGGTCCTTTAACAACATCAGAAAGATCTTACTTTAACATTTTATTTCAGTCAGTGAGATTTTATGGTGATTTATATATATATTTTCGATAGTCACATAATAGGAATTCTGGATGTATAAAGGGGTCTGTGGGGGGGAAGGTTGGGGTAATGTTTTATTTAAATGGTTATTTAGGTAAGATACCTAAAGCACCAGAGACATACATGTTGGTTAAAATGTGGAATATGATCATTGTCTTGATTTTTAAACTACTGGGGTCAAATTGACCCCAGAGGTCAGATTTGGGTGTAAAGTCAATCTGAGGATAACAGGAGGTTAACTTGCCTGTAGCTTCTTTCGGTCCTGCAGGGTAGAAAAGCTGACAGAGTCTGGGATAAACTCCTCCAAATGTGTTTTGTTCTTCTGGAGTTGAGAGTGAAAAGCCGAGCAGGACTTTCTGTACCTGCAGTGAAAGATTTCAATACATCAATATGACATTCTCTGAAACTGAAATGGGAAGCTAAATGGGAACAGAGCCGGCTGCAAAATCTGTAAAATTAAGTTATTTAAAATGTTAATATGTTCACAAAGCAGACTGTTTTTGTCTTTGGGGTATTTCTTTTGTCTAGATGACAAACAGGTGGAATCGACAGCAACATACAGTAGAGGGGTAAATTGTAAATATTTGTCTAAAATATGTGTCAAATTGTCACTGCAAAAGGATGCTGCTGATCCAAATGACTTCCTAAAGTTAACCACACAATACAATTTAATTTTGGATGATGATCAACTGCGCTCATCTGTCAGGTCTAGCTTTAACTCACATGCTGACAGTTCTTCAAACCACAGACATTTAAGAGCTGAGATAATAACCCCTACCTTTCCAGTACTTCCTGTTCCGAGGAGATCACTTCCTGTTGTGAGGCGGCCGTCTCTGGGATGACGGTCCACTCGGCCTCCTGCTTGGTCTCCACAGTGTCGCCCCTGACAACCGCCTGGGAGATGGGAAGGTCACATAGTAGCAGTTCAGAGACAAGAAGAGAACGAGATGCAGCAGAGCCGATCCACTTACTGAGGATTAGCCCTGCTGCTGCTGCTGCTCTCACAGGTCAGTCTCAGCCAATCACAGTGCAGAGTTCTGCTCGGACCAGGAAGTCTTAAGGAAATGCCACTTGAAATGCTATGTATAAAGTGAATAAGATTCATTTGGGAAATGAACACATGCAACAATCTGATATACAGTAATTAGCCTGTAATACACCAGTCGAATAAAAGCCATTACCATTTTTCTGGACTGAAACCTGTCTCATGTCAATTTGAAATGTCTGCAGAGGCACAGGAACTGAAGGGAAGTAAAGTTATTGTTTTGGTTTGCAGGTAGGAATCAAAGATATCCGTTTCCCTTTGCACCACCTCCATCCTGAGCAAACTCCCAATAAGCTTTTTATGTGACTTTAACTTCACATTGTATAATTTGTTGGTTAAAATACAGTTGTAAATGTTTTTCTAGGAGCTTACAGAGTTACTAAAATACCTAGTGCAGCGAGAGAAAGCAAGAAAAACAACAAGGAGATCTAATGAACGTGTTCTCTCCCTACCTGTATGTGAGCCCGGGTCTGCTGGCTGCTCTCTGTGAAGTGCAGCAGACGAGCTTTCAGCGGCTGCTCTTTGGATCTAAGTGCAGACTTCAGTTTTTTCTCCAACCCACAGCTTCTACGTTCCCCCTCCCTCTCTGCCGGGACATCCTGAGCCCGCAGGTGGAGGATATCACCCTGAGGCTGCGCTGTCACAGAGCCACACACAGGTGAGAGGTCTTGTTGTTGTCTGTCCACGCTTTGTGTCTGACGGTTGCTGTGCTGCGTGTCGGCCGACATTCTCAGCAGGGGGGTTCCCCGGGGCTGCCGTCCCCTGCTGAGGGAAACAAAGGTTTATTAGGGGGAGGTCGAGGCGGGTAATTAGGAATCTCATTAAGATTAATAGAAAGGAAGGATTACACAGTGAATATTCTGAATAATAAAGTTGTCTGCTTCAATTAAACAATGCATTTGAACTTAAATTCAAATCCCAGTTTGTAGCCTATAGAACCTGAATGTTAATTTAAGGGTACATGTTTAAGCCAAACAATGCTGTTTCTTCCTGTCTGTCTTTACAGATTTTTTTTTATAATCTAAAATCTGACGTAATTTTTAATGTTTAATGTGCTGTCTACCACAAATTGGTTTTAACACTTAGTAGAATACACATTAAATAATAAGCTTCCTTTCTGAAAAAAAGAAAACAGACGTGTCAAAATACATCCAAGAGAAGCAGATCTTATGGTTCGCTTTTTATAAAACTATATTATTTCTAAGATATTACAGAGCCGGCTGCAAAATCTGTAAAATTAGACTGTTGTCTTTGGGGTATTTCTTTTGTTTAGATGACTAACAGGTGGAATCGACAGCAACATACAGTAGAGGGGTAAATTGTAAATATGTGTCTAAAATATGTGTCAAATTGTCACTGCAAAAGGATGCTGCTGATTACTTACTAAAGTTAAACACACAATATACACTTCATCTCCTTTGCATTATCTTACCAGTCAGAAGTGAGCACTGCGTCACTGGATTGTGTTTCTTGAGCTTCATCTGACTCCTGGAGCTGGTCGGTTGCTTGGCAGAAGGACTGTCCCTGTGTTAGTGTCTCACACAGCTCTTGTAATGATTCAACCTCATCAGATGCAGCTCCATCCATGACGACCTGGGAGAAATGTGAATTTCGGAGAAACTGAAATAAAGTATCTTTCTGATCATCTGTCAGAAACATACAGCTTGCCACACAGCACAATCAGATGATATTTGTTACAGAGTTAGGAAGTACCTGGTGCTGCGACACAGAGTCATGGTCAGTCTGGTCAGTGGTTACGTGCAGAGCGTTAGTTTGAGTTTCACATTGCGCAGCAGAAAATGACTGATGTCCATCTCTGATCTGACACCAAAAGATGGGAACAAAGGCAGCCATATCTCTGCGTACATCCTGAGTGCGACACAAACGAGCCAATTCAACTTTAAAGACAAATGTTAGTGGTGCCAGGTTCATGCAATATCAAAACTGTTGACAGAAAACAAATAAAATGGTTAGTTTGCTGGGCTTTTTAGTTATGACTTGTGTTGTATTGTTACAGGAGTAAAACATTTACATGAAACTGGATTTATTATTTTTCAGAAATAGATTTTTTCAAATGACACATATTGGCCATCTTGCAGAGAGTTACATGAGAGGATCAATAACACTCCTTTAGCAGGTGAAACAGTTTTTAATGTATAGTCCCTGTCATACCTCCCACTGCTTTCTGACTGAGTCTGAGTGGAGCATCAGGTCCTGGAGCTGGGGCCCCGTGCAAAAGGCCCCCAAACACTCCACAGCACTGAGGAACTCATCCAGGATGGCAGGCTGCAGAGTCTTTAAAGCTTTCTGCACACAAAGACATCAAGCTGGACAAACATGCAAACAATGGCAGCTATGCGCAGCACAACACAGAGCTCTAAAGAAGCTAACATTCAGAGTTTCATTTTGAGATTCCAAGGTCTGGATGTTGTAGCACAAAATGCATTTGCTCTGTTGTAAGGATTTGATAAGGAAAGCTTTACATTCACTAAAAGACAGAAATAGAAATGTCTCACACTCATTAGTAGGAAAAAAAAAAAAAAAAAAAAAGGTCAAAACTCTTAAATAAAAATGTACTTTTATTCTTTAAAAATCATCAAAATGATGTTGTTGATGTAACTACTAATACTATATAATATACTTCTTTTTAGATGGTTAAAAAAAATGTATTAGGGTAAGTGATGTGTTTCTGTTTCATAAAATTGTACCTGTTTCTTCTTGGCTTGGGACACGGACACCTCTCTGCCACCAAACAACCTGATGGCTTGTTGGATGCGTCCCTGCAGGCGAGACCGGGCCTTCTCCAGCCGGCTCCTCGCCATCGACTGCGCTCTGGAGTGAACTTCACTGCGGACCATCACCAGAGGCTTTGGAGAGGTCGTATCACTCTGTGCAGGGTTGGGCTGCCCTCTTATTCTGGTTTTCAACGTTTGACTTTTTGATGAAGAGGAGCTTTCCTTTTCCTCTGGGTCTGGACTCGTCACATATTTAGACAGAACTGGACTTTTTGGTCCGACTGGAGTTTGGATCCTAGCAGGTAGAGGTTGATCCTTTTGACTTGGACATGAAACTCGAGTGCTGGATTTAGAAAATAACTGGAATACAGGTTCAGGTTCAGCTTGAGTTATAACAATGGTTGGTTTATCATTTGTATTCGCAGGCTGATTCTTGGTCCAACCTCGAAGACCTGTCATCCTTGGTTGAGGCGTAACAGATGGAGTCTCAGGTGAAGCCAGACCTGGCTCCTGGTTTTGCAGCATCACATTCCCAATCTGGTGTACATGTTTGGTTCTGGCCACAACAAATAACCCTGCCTCTGGCTCTCCTGGAGTCTTACGGGATGTTTCAACAGGTTGCAGAAACCCAAGAGAGCAAAACATTCCAAAAATCTCCTAAAAAAGAAAAAGAAAATAAGCCCAAGCAACGACTGAACAACTGAAGGTTACCAGACATTCATTGAACTGACCTGGCAGTGGGAGACTGCCTCTGAGATCCTGTCCTGCAGGTCAGAGGTGCTGAGGTTCTGTAGAGGAGAGGTTTTCTGAACTCGTGCCACAAGATCCAGGAGATCCTGTCCCTCAGATACAACCTGCTTCTCAAGCTGCGGCCCTCGAGAAATCAGCACCTAAAGAGGATTATACCCAGTTTTATCATTTCAGTGGGCACACATATCACACGCCACTGGAAGAGATGCCTCTCTGTGGTATCTATCTATCTATCTATCTATCTATCTATCAATCAATCAATCAATCAATCAATCAATCAATCAATCAATCAATCAATCAATCAATCAATCAATCAATCAATCAATCAATCAATCAATCAATCGGATACTGCTGTAATAGGCCTAAGGCCTTTTAGTTGCTCATAAATAAGTAGATCACTGTTCTTTATATACTATGGATGCTGGCAACAGTCACATAGTCCAAAGTGAAGGGGATGTTTAACCAGTAATGGTCGAGGCGGGACTTTCAGTAGGGAGTCTGTGCAGATCACAACATGTCATATCTGGCAACATAGTCAACTAAGGAATAATAGAAAAACAACTGCTATAATACCCTAACAATGTACAAGTAATAACTAGTAAATAACTAGTAAACTGACATTAGAAATGTATAACAAATCTGGCAAGCTGCAATTTGCAACATGCCAGTATTTGCTATTGCTAATTCCACTATTCCTATAATAAAAGCAAATACTTTAGATGTATAAATGAACAGGCTAGAGACCTGTAGGAGTGCGATTTGTGAGCATCTATCATTTGTGTATTATTTATGATACTGCCATCATTTGTAAGTGTTAACAAATATCTTTTGTGAAAAGGACTCATGGATCATTTATGATGACTTTTACCTAAAAACAACAAACAACCAAACAAACACAACAAACTAATGCCTTATTAGAAGTGTTGCTGACTTTGGCTGCAGGTTCCAATGCAGAGCGCCCTCTGTGCTTCCTGTCCTCCCTGAGCTGGTGCCAGTCCAGAGCCTCTGAGCTCCAGCGGTCCAGCTCAGCCAGACGGCCCTCCATCCCCGACGCAGCCCGCTGCAGCTCTGCACAGTTCGTCTCTGCTGCAGCAAGCACCTGTCAGACACACACAGGGAATCAGGACTGAACCCTTTGTCTAAGTTTATCATACTAAAATACAGGAGAGCTACACTACTGTATGTACACAGGATAAGAGATCAATACAAAATCTGTGGAAACAACAATGTCTACAACCACCGTGTTTCTCTCTTTTTCTAATTTGCTCTTAGAATTGCACACATAATAAATCATCAGTATGACTTTAGTCACCAACTACAAGAAGGAAGACGCTCTATTGAAATGCATCACAGTTGGTCAGAGAATGTTTGCAGCAGAGTACCTGTGGGAGAGTTTTTTGGAGGTTCACTGTGTTGCTTGTTTGCAACTCTGTGGATGGACTGAGGCATGAAAGGTCCACCTCGGCCATCTTCTTACTCAGTCCCTAAAAAGTAAAAACAACAAGAAGCAAAAAAGAAAAACCAGTTAAGGCACAGAAGGATTTAAAAAGATTGTCTACTGCTGCTGATTTTTATTTAGTCATCCATTAATGAATGTAACTTTAACAACCTGTAGTTTCTGCCTGGCGGCCTTCAGTGGGACGGAGGCCACCTCCAGCGGCTGCCTCAGTAGCCAGCTGGCCTCCTGGGTCAGTGAATGCATCGTTTGAAGAGAAGGTGGACCAACACTGGGCTCCGATGATACTTCCTAAGAAGAACAAGCTTTATGAAACCTTTATTGATGTCTGTTTGCCTCTTACGTCAACAACAGACATTCTGTTAATAATGAACATTTAAAATCCTTTGTGTTCATTGCATTAAAAGGTAGGGTAGGTAAGAATGGAGAAACCAGCTCGAGTGCGCTAGAATTTGAAAATACACAACCGGAAAAAATCTGCCCCTTCCATCAGACTTCCTTACAGAGACCCTCCTCCAACACACACAAACGTGCACATGACCACGATATAAGTTTGTGCACAGATGGAAGGCTGACAGGCAGGTAGGCCATCCAGTTATTTTAGGCGGGCCGGCTCAGATGATTGGTCGTGCTTTTTACAGAGCCACGGCTTCCAGGGATGACATTTTTTAATGTATTTATTGTCAAAGCATTTAATATATTCATTGCTATCGGGATGTTAAGAGCATTCCATGGAATATAACAACAAGTGTTTCTGAAGCGAATGACCTACCCCACCTTTAACTGTGTCTTCACGTCTAGTCTGGGTCCATTTGGAAAGAAGAGTGCGTACTTACAAACATGGTCCTCTTCATGCATTCAGCCCACTGCATGTTAACTTTGCTGAGTTGCTCTGCCATTGTGCGGCTGGTTGTAGATTCTGTCACTTCAATGAGGAAGTTCCCCGCTTCGTTTAACTTAGCTTGACATGACGTCCACTCGCTCATGTCCTACAGTAACCAAACCAACAGGTCAAAACAAAAAAGAAAATGGTTTCAGTTTCATTGGACTTTATAGTGAGAGTCATAAAAGGATTATTTTGAGTTATTCATTGACAGAATTCCAGACAAGAGGTTACCTTCGTCCCCGCTGCAGGACACTGGGCAGGTGAGTGTTTCTGTGCCAGCCACGTCTGTAGAGAAGAGAGGCACTTGTTGTAGATCTCCCACGCTGACACCACTCTCTCCATCGTCCATCTGACAGCCGTCACAGGCTGTGTGATCTGTTCCACTTCATGTTCTGCTTCCTTCACCTGACGAGCAACAAGCTGGAAGTCCTCACCTGGGGAGAAACAGAAACAAATCTATCCTGTCAGTTAAACACAGAGAAACTTAAGCTAGGATTTGTGCTATATACCTCGTGTCATAGAAACACATTTAGCTCATACCTAGCGCTGCCTTGCTGGTGTAATTGTTCGCCTTCTCCTTCAGGGTTTGGAGAGAATCCATCAGAATCAAAAGCAGGCCTTGGCGCTCAACAGTTTCCTAAACAAACCAACAAAGTGATTGTGTTGAATTCAGGAAGCATATCTTATCAGATGATTTGCTACTTTTTTTAAATGCAAAGAAAATAACAATGATGTCCCTTATTGTCCAGTAGTGGTAATTATGACATTTCCTTTTAAATCCAAAGATTCAAAAGTTGTATTGTCATATGCACACAGTGAGAAATGGCAATGAAACATGCTGATATTGTGGCTCACATTAGTATGTTCCTGGAACCAGTATAAGAATGTTTTGTCTACATACTGAGATACTTACATGCCAGTCCTGCAGAAGCTGAAGAACTGCCTCCTGGGAAATGTAGGCAGCTTTCCAGATCTGAACCTTAGCACTGATGCGGCTCAGGACATCCAGAACAGTGTGACGGGATTCCTGGTATTCCAGTTTGATCCCTTGATATTTAGCTGTGACTCGGATATTGGTTAATCTGTTAGATAGAAGATGTTGATGCATAATTGTTTTTTTTGGAACCAAGCAGTGAATCCTTCAGGGGTGTCAAACTTAAATACACAGTGGGCCAAAATAAAAAAATGGGTACTAGTCGAGGGACGGACTGGTTCAATGTTTATTGCAGAACTTATTGAAATGAACTTATTGCACAACCTGGAACTAAAAAAGCTTAAATGATTGCCTATAAAAACAACATTAAACATTAAATAATCAGTTGCATTCATTTCTTATGGCTCTATCTGCAGCTTTTCCAGAGTCATTTCTTATGATTACATTTTTCCACAGGCCAACAACAGCTTCAAAAAAAAAATAAAACATGCCCTGTTGTCGCAACAAATAAAGTGCAGAAGGAAACATCCATTAAACTCAGTGTGCTGCTCTGTGATGCTAGTTCAAGCAGATACTTGGCATCTCATCTCGGGTGCAAGGTCATCAATGTTTGGGCTCAGGCTCTGAGCTGAGGAGACCCTCAGGATGGAGTGAAGGTGTGCGTGCAATATACCGGCGGGCCAGATCTAATAGTAATTAGAAATGATCATGCGGGCCGAAATTAAATCCACCAAGGGCCTGAGTTGGCCCCCGGGCCTTGAGTTTGACACATGTGATTTAATACAACACACTTAAAAGTAGAATTTGTTACAAACATGCTGGTATGGTATACATTTCATTGATGAAAGAAGTTAAATAACTTTGTCACATACCGTCTTTTTATCTCATCAAAATTCTCAAGGGGCACAACTATGTTCCCCGAGCCGTCCACGTTGCGGTAGGTATCCATAATGTTGACGTAGTAGCTCATCTCTTTGATTAAAGTCTAAACGAAAAACAGCAACCAACATTTATTTTATTTTCATGTCATGAGTCTCAAAATATTGTTCTGCTCTCTTCATATGTTTTCTTACCACATAGCCTAGAAATTGTTTTAAAACACAACAAAATGGACTTTTTTTAAACAGGAAGCAATTCAATCAAAATAACCTTTTGCGTGTCTTGTTGAGCTCTTGCTTCTTTAGCAGCGCCAGCATGATCTTTCACGCCTCCTCCCTCTTCTGTTAGCGCTTCCTCTGCACGCTGCAGCCACGCCACGACCGAGTCCAGAGGAGGAGGAAGGCTGGAGTCCAGGTCTGCTTTACATCTCTGCAGCTGGAGAACAAAACAAATACAAAAATAGCTATAAGCACAAAACCCAGTCATTGTTGTGTCGTCTAATGAATGTTTTATTTATCTGGAGAGGGATAGAGAAGTGAAACAGTAGGAGACACCTTCCAGATCCCAACAAACCTCTAACACCCTGCCAAATTCACAAGAACCAAAACATGTCAGACAAACAGCGCAGGAAGCAATAAGGGGGCTGGGATTCCCTCACCTCTGCTTCCAGACGATCCCACGCTGTCCTGAGAGCACACTGCTCTTGGCTGAGCTCAGGGCAGCGTCTAACGGCAGCGAGGAGGGTCATGACTGGTCTCCTTTGCTCAGCGAAGGATCCAAACAGGTTCTGAAACACCTGAAGAACCGGTCACAGTTATAACTTCTAATCACTGTGCAACAATACACACAAATAATACACACAAAGTAATGTATTCGTCAACTCTCAAAGCTCTGTGCTTACCTGATACTTTTCTGCAAAGCTTGATTTCTCTGTAGCTGTCCGTGCCTCGGACAGTTCATCATAGGTTTGCTGCAGCCAGCAGGTCACCTCCAGCGCTCGCTCACTTGGAGAGACCTACGTTTTCAACATTTAAACGGTCAGTAGATATACTTAAATGTCAACCAAGGTGATATTAACTACTTAAATGTGTTGCCATCTCATACAGGCCTGAATTAACCTCAACTTTCAATAGCCATGCATCATATAAATACCCAGTAAAATGCACATATTTAATGCAAATAAGAACTAAAGATATGCAAATTTGAGAAGAACCTATGCGCCTGGTTTATAGCTACCTGGCGTAACGGTGAAACAGCCACTGCTGGAGTGAATTGAGCAGGCAGGTTGACAGGTGAGAGAGAAAAGGGCTGGACCACAGGAAACAGCTATAGCACCGCCACCAGAAGAGAAGAAATAATAACACCACTCAGTGTCATGCAGGAGTTCAGGTTTGAAAGAGGGAAGGGAAACCGTATGAAACCAGAGTACTCCCAAGTAGTTACTTTAGAAGGTGTGGAAGTCAAAGTAACAGTAAGATTTAAAGAAGTAGTTTGATTAGCTACCTGCAGATGGTCATCCGGAGACGGCATGTCATTGGAGTACTGCAGAAACTGGGCCACATATGTCATTATGGACTTCTCATCAGGGTCTGGAACATCGACATCTAAAGGTGAAGGTAAATACACTTTTGTTCAGTGCGGCAGAAAAAGAAGCAAAAATAATCTTTCTGATTGGTATCATTTCTTATGCAACATTTCTTCTCAGATACTATGAAATATTATTGAGAATGACTCAACAGCACTGAATAAGCCTCACCCTGGGGGTCCAGCAGGCGGGGGATGTGGAGCTCCCTCTCGGCCAGGTGGAAAGCCTCCTCCAGGTTCTCCTGGTTGCTCCTGGACTGAACCAGAGAGAGGTCAGCCAGCTGCGGTCTGAGAGAGCACAGGATGGCCAGGAAGACCTCTCCACTTCTCCAGCTCGACTTAAAGTTCTTCACACTGATGGAGCAACCGACCCTAGACAGATAAAACAGATGGAGAAAGGAAAGAAGAAGGGGAAGAAAGGAAGATCTGTCAGTCCGTCCTGGAGCAACAGCAAAACTTCTGTCATTGCTTTCCCTGTAGCAGTCACACCAACAAGCCTTCAACCTTATCCATCTGTTTTGCATGAGTAGGAGTAGCTGTCATTCCTCCTGTGAGGAGACGCCATGGATGCTGTAGCTCTTTTAAGGTTGCAAGTTTTTGGCAAAGATGTTTCTTTACTTTCAAGAAAAACTGAGTAAGGACTTTTCCTTTTTTTTTGTTTCTTTTATAAAAAAAGGGAAAAATTATTGTAAGACATATTTTTTGGAGTACGCATCAGATACCTTAAAGCAATATAATACCATATAGGTAAACACATATAATGTTATGGTTAAAAAATCAAATACAACACATTACAGTATTTCTGGAGTACAATATTAGTTTGTAATAAGTACGTGGGTCTGAATGGTACCCTCAGACAACCGTGTAACATCGTGGAACAGCCAACTTATAGTCTATTAAACCAAATTGTCATACCCCTCTATAAAACATCTTAATTTTTATATAACTTACTTTTGGCATTGGTCCCTGACCCACATGAGCAGAGCCTTCTTGGCTGATATCCGGAAGCGCTTGTGCAGCGGAGACGTCCGGCCCGCAGGGAGCGGGGGGGCCGGGCTGCTGGACCGCGAGTCCAGACTGCACAGAGAGTCCAGAGAGGAGTGGCACGAGCTGTAGGACAGAGTGCTGGCCAACTCTTCAATCTGGAACACAGAAGGTAATGCCATTCATTAGCTATCAAATTAACTGTATACATAACATGGTCATTCAATTATTACAAAAATCTAATCTAATTCAAAAGTAACAAACATCTCCATGTTTCATTTTGTCAAGACAACCCACAAAACCATCCTGTGTCTAACCAAGGGATAATGATGTATTAGGAGTTGCTACTGAATTTGTATTTGTATCAACAGCAGGGTAATACCTTTTGGCACACGGTTAGTACCAGTACTCACATGACAGTGGAGGATGATGGTCCAGATGAGTCCGAGGATGATGGAGGGACGTCCATCTATGATATCTGGGATGTTTATGTTCACCAGCTTGATCTATACCAACCATACAAGAACACATATTTAATATAATAAAACAAAAAAACATGAACAATTCAGATGTCCTGTGGGTTGTGTTGAGACTTACAGATTTCTTCTTTAGAAAGTTCAGTGCGGTATCAATGTTGGCCCTCTGCTGGAAGACCCCACGGCCCCTTTGTCTTTTCTGTGGAGACAGATTACAACATCAGCTCTACTGTCATTCTCACAATCCTAGTTTTCTGTCTTGTCATCATTTTATGTTGAAATTCTGTTCTCCCTGTGTCTTGTCTTCCTTCCTGTGTTTTCCCTCATGTGTCTGATTGTGTCCCTTGTGTTTCTGCCTCCCATGCCCAGCTGTGTCTTGTCCTGTGATTACCCTTCTTTGTATTGTGGCCCTTTCTCACTTCTCTTATTTTTCATTTCCTCGCTCCTCGGTCTCGGTCTCACCGGAAGTTGATTTGTCTGCGCCAACTTGAGTAGCGTCCCGATGGCCTTATTTTTGCCGGAGGACCGAGGAGCTATAATCGAGGAACCACCAGACCATCCTTCAATGAAATCCTCGATACTCGCCCCGCCCCCTTACTCTGTATCGCTCACTGATTGGACGATGCAGTGCATGCACTGATCTGATCTTGACATGAGAGCAGTTTCCCAGCGTAGTGAAGGAAACAAATGAAACTCACGAGAGTCACTCCTCAGTTTATACCGTGTTTTGTGTCAATTCATGTATCATTTAGTTACAAACATGTGATATATCTGAACAACAAAGTGGTCAAAAATCATTTTATTCATTTATTATCATGATCGCTTTTTTCGTTTTACATTTATTGTCATTTCCATTCAGTCAGTCATTAAGTGCTATTAAAATGTTAATTTGCTACATATCCAAACAAACAAACAAAGTGTACAATCCAATGAATGTTAATCTAACTGGGTTTTGATAGATAACATATCTCTTTTTCTTCTCTCAATTTTTTTTTTCAAACTATCGTTCGTTTATACATTTTAAGAGAAGAAGAAATTATTTTATTTATTTGGGTCTACAACAGATGATACAAATGTTTGTGTCAGTAAATGGGAGGCGGGGGGGTTTGGGGAAATAACGGGGACAGAGCTGCTGTCAGACGATCAGCTGTGCGGCGTCATCACAAACGGACGTCGCTTCACGTGACGCTCCGGAGGAAACGGCGTCCCATTGCTCTTAAAACTCATTTCCCTGCTTCTCGTGGTTTCCTTGCGTCTCTCCATGCTTCCCTGGTGGGAGGGACTAAACGCAGGGAAACTACGCAAGTGAGGGAAGCAAGGATTTCATTTAACCGAAGTGAGAAGGACCCTTAGTCTTGTCTTCCCCTGAGCTCCTTGTCGGTTCATTGTCTTTCCTGTCACCCTTCATGTTTGTCACGGTTAGTTTTGTCTGGATGCTACCTCGTGTTACCTACAGTACTCTTTGGATTACCTCGTGTTACCTACTCTTTGGATTCATGTTTTTGTTTAAAGCTTTTTTTGTAAATAAAGCTCGCTTTTTGTTGCATTTTGAGGCCCGCTTCCCTTTTTGAACTGCATTTGGGTTAGGGATGTCCCGATCACCTTTTTTTGCTCCCGATCCGATTCCGATCATTTGATTTTGACAATTTGCCGATACCGATTTTTCCCGATCCGATCTTTATGCAATGCATTAAGAGAAAAAAAGCATTCAAGTTGTCCCTTAAGGTTATTTTTTTATTTAAATTGGATATTCTATCCAACATGGATATAGCTTCTTTCTTTCACAGCAGCATTGGATCAGTTCAGTTGTGCAGCATTGGATCAAAACNNTAAAAATTAAAAAAAATTTTATGAATAAAAAATAAATGTTTTGTTTTTACCTGGTAAACAAGTTTCAGAATTTAAGTAAGGACTCCCGGAATAAAACCCAAAGTTTAATGTCCTTGTAGTACATACCACGAAGAAACCCCCGAACAGAAGTATCTGGACCAACGAAAAACACAGATTAGCATCGTCATTCGTATTGCTATGACTATTCGAATAAACAAAACTAAGGTAACGACGTGTCCCCGATTTTTTTCTCCCGATTCCGATCTTTTGAAAATCACGTGATCGGCTCCGATCCCCGATCACGTGATCGGATCGGGACATCTCTAATTTGGGTCCTACCTTTTCCCGAACCGTAACAGTCATTACAGTATTTTTACCTACAGAATACTTTTCTACTGATTCATTCTAGGATACATTTGTAAGCATTGCAGTAACTCACCATAGGTTGGCCACTCATCACCTCCAACAGGTCAAGCAGTTGAGACCCATCTCTGAAGTCAGAGAAGAGGTCGGACACAAAAGAGGGCGAGCATCTCTGTAACAACACACACAATTACGTTTTAATATTATTTTGCCAAATTAATGAATGAGTTCAGGTTTCTGACCTGTTTATGTTTTTGCAAACCACATAAGAAAATCTAAGGCGCAACAGGAAGCAAAATGATTTATGGGAAATGTGATCTTCCTGGTTGTTTACCATGTTGCTAAGGCGAAAACACTGTCTATCAACCTGTGTATTTTGCAGTGACGTGATTTTGAAATGCTACATGTAGCTACTTTGTAAATTCAGTTTTGTATCCTAAACGTATTGCAATGACACTGAAGTGTGGGTCACAGCTTTAGGTCAAATCACAACAGAGAAGTTTGTCCTCTAGACATAATGGGAGTATTTCCTGTTAGGGGTCGTCAGTGCCCCCATATTGGTGTAACAGCTGGTTATGAACCGGTGACTTTATGGACATGAGGTTATGAAGGGGTGCCTGGATTCAAATTACGTGCTGTGCTTCCTCACAGAACCACTATTTATACTCCAGCCGGGCGTCACCAGCAGATCAAGGACTCTTCCAACAGATCCTCTGTAAGCGGCTTAACTGCACCTCACCGTCTGAACAACGAGTCAGCATGTCTGCATGTGCTTCACATCATTTACAGCCCCACCACAGCACGACGTCATCTCAACACTTTAAGTACAGTTCTCCAAAAGATGCGTTCGTATGCTAATTAGTGTTTCAATAGCGCATATTGTGGACAAGCAGGCAACATTTCCACACCTGTGATCATACTTTGCTTGTGACGTATCATACATTTAAGGTGCTTTTTGGACATAACACTCAAACTTTAAGTGAACTTAATGTGAGAATGTGGAATCAGGTAGATTCTGTCTTACACGTGAACTGATGCTGCAGACATGTTTAACTTTTTCTCACAAGTCCCTTTCTGCATCACTATAGCCTCTAATAAACTCATTTAAATAATCCAAAGATATAACATCCTAAAGATATATCCTATTTTAAGCCCCAGGTCTTTATTTAGTTAACTTAACATGAGCTGTTTGATACTTCCTGCCATAGGAAAACTGCTTAGACAAGTATAAAAGAGATTGAAACCACCCTGCTTTTCGACAAATGTAACAAAAGTTCATGTTCATTTATTCCATAAGCATGACATATTAATATGGTATCTCAAAATACAGTACCTTAGAAAGTTGAGCATTCATCCAGTTGGTGAATGTCCTCTTCTGAATCTGTTCATGCTCCACTGTTGAGGAAACAGACAAACACATTGTAAGAAAAGTATGTATTAAAGTGAGTATCCGATCACTGGCTTCATCAATCAGACTGATTTATATAAAACAAGTTGTAGTCAATCAACTTAAAGAATGTGCTAAAGCATGTTTTCTAAGACTGTGAACTATTCATCTTTAGCTGGACTGAGAAGAGCAACTAATGCAAACAAATGCACAGAAAAATTGTCAAATATATTACAGTATCTTCCTCAAAAGCAACATGACCTTCCCTGACTTTCCCTCTCTGAAATATGCTTCGGTAAAGTCCGTGATAATCCTGATATTTCTAAATAGCAGTAGGGTCTCTGATCCAAGCAGCCGGAAGGCCATAAGCTACTCACCAACAGCAGAGGAATAAAGGACCTGTCGACCCTCCATGCTTATAACTAATAGTCAATAAATCCATCAATAAGGAGAATAGATTGTACTTTTAACAACATATAACTAACACCACATGAGCCACAGTGGCTGGCTTCCTGTTTGAGCTAAAGTAAGGCTACCGTCTCAGATCTGGCTGCAGGATGGGATTGCTTCCAAGACAGTGACAGACAGACATAGATACTGAGAGACACAGCAAATATACACAGAGACACACACACACACACAGCAGTGATGGACTCTGAAGCAGACATATGCACACACACATTGAGGTGGTTTTGGGCATACATGGTACTGGAGATGTCTCTAAGCTTGTGTTGACAAAACATGAATATTTAACTCATTATAACGTTTTTTTTTCCTGCGGTATTATGGAACAGAAACTTAAAGAAAATGCAGGTAGTTTTGGAAATGTATTTTAGTGTGAAGGGTATGCTGACAAGTAGAGCTATGTGGAAAATGTTGGTTATCTTTTCATCAAATGAAAGAATTTGCTTGAATTCATTTCAGATTCAAAATATATAACTACTTTAATTACAGTTATATATAGTATGAATAACTGTATTGAACATAACACAGTGGGTGTGTCTCATAATGATATACTCTTATTCTTACTTTTTTAAACCTTTAACAACCATTTATTGTATCTATATGCAATAATGTTTGTAGTGCTTTTTAAACTGCAAAATGACACATCAGAGGTTTATTTCGTGCAGACCAAACATGGCTATTATTCCAAATAAGTTGTGGAGACTAGTTTGTGATTCAGTCTGAACTGTTTGTTTAGGAGCATGCCAAGGCAGGAAAGCCCTGAGCATTTTAATCACCCCACTCCACCCAGTTCACCTGACGTGCCAGTACAAACAGCAGCAAATAGCTTCACCAAATAATAATACAGTTCTGCTACAGGCCATTGCAAGGCAAATATGTTTATCAGGTAAAGAAAAACAATTATAGATTCTTACATAGACTTCTTACGTTATAGTAAAGGTGCCATGTATATCTCATATTGTTCCCATTTTACCATCTGCAGTGGTTACACTTAATTCAACAGGTAAATGTTGAATACAAACAACATTTCCATAATTTTCAAACAGCATAACAACATTTTTAGTACAAGCATGTTTGGTAACTAAATATCTGTCTGATTAATTAACATGATTAACTTACAAGTTTATTTTCAAAGAATGAAACAATCACTACACATTTACTGTGCAGTAGTTCCCCCGCATGAAGTCACAACAAAAAAATTAAAGCAACGTGACTCAAGAACAAGTCTATTAGACCAGGAAATGAAATGTTCCTTCTAACTAATGATGGAGTCACATGGAGACTTGTTGATGTTACCCAACAAACATATCAGTTTTTCCTATTTCCTTATTATAACACAATAGTTTATTGTCCTTTCAAAAATCATGTATGCTATCACATGGCTAGTAACACAATTAACAATACTGAAACAAATGAAAGAGGAGTATTGAAGTGGAGCAAAAACAAAGAGATAATATGTAAGCATTTTGTAAAGAGTTCATACCAAACACAAGCCAGGAATCTTCATATATCATGGTCAACGAGCTGAAATCCCTTTTAACTTGCATGTGGCTTTTAACAAGCTGCTAACTAGTTCACTTAAATGTCAGAAAAGTTTAAAAAGTGTAATCTCCACACATGTGAAATAGTAAACAGATTATACAAATGGTCAGTGCACAGGGAAACATCACCTCCACCTCCACACAAACAATCATTTAAAGGTGGGATAGGTAATTTTGGAGAGACCAGCTCGAGTGCGCTAGAATTTGAAAATACACAGCCGGAAAAAACCCGCCACTTCCTTACAGAGCCCCTCCTCCAACACACACGAACACGCACATGACCAATGAGGGCACGAGATAAGTTTGTGCACAGATGGAAGGCTGACAGGCAGGTAGGCCATCCAGTTACTTTAGCCGGGCCGGCTCAGATGATTGGTCGTGCTTTTTACAGTACTACGGCTTCCACAGATTAATTTTTTTTATGGATTTTTTGTCAAAGCACTTCAGATATTCATTGCTATCGGGATGTTAAGAGCATTCCATGGAATATAACAACAAGTGTATCTCAAGCCGGTTTCTCAAACTTACCCCACCTTTAAGCTGCCTATATTTATTTACCACTTTCTTTTCACTTTTCAAGCACTTCTTTAGTTGATGAACACATATATATTATTACATTACATGTTACTTGTTAGACACTTTTATCCAAAGCGACTTACGTATACATCAGATCCTAGTAGCCTAATGCAAAATGGATTGAAATCCCCTCAACACATTTCAAAGTTTAGCCAGCACGGTTTCTCCGCTGCAGCACATCACATGTCACAACATCATGTACAGGAATAGACTGACCTTGGAGGAGCATGTGCACGTTGTCGATGTCCAATGGAATGCCTCCATCGTCTTCCTCTGCTACACCTGAAGCCATGTAGCCTCTGACCACAGCAGGAGATCAACCTCAGTAAAGATGCACAAGACGTAGATTAGAAAGTGTTCCACTCGAGAGAAATCAACAACACCAAGGGTAAAAACTGCAGTGTCAAAGTTTCTTCCATAACATTTAAGTTAACCGCCTCCACTGTTTGATTAGTCATGTTATGAACACACCCATCCACACCCATACTTTACGTCAGACAGACACAAGTACACACTTGCAAACATTCAACAAAGAGCTCAAAGAAATAGCTGCTCTGTATGGAAGTAGCTAGTCCATCTCTACAAACACACAAAGCAATAACAGGCCAGGTCACAAGTCTTCAACATACCTGTAGTAGGACTGTAGTCACGGATCACAGCTAGTACATAATGTCTAACGATGAAGAACAGTAGGGTGTGTAACATGAACACTAAATATCCTCAGCTGTATCCTTTCAGATTGGCACAACTCTGCGATGAGGTCCCTTCAAATAGGACTTGGCTGTAGGTGCTCATAAATGAAACAAGGTGCCTCTTGCCTTTTTGAGCATGAGGACAAACAAGAGTGGAAAGTCCCGCCCACGCTCACTGCAGGCCCAAATCACTCCTGCCGACTCTCATTCAAACTTTCTCTTGGCTAAAAAGTAATCACATGCTCACAAATGCCAGAGTCAACTGGTTTGGTTTCAGCTGTGTTTGCAAAAACAAATCCTTGTTACTGATGTTTCAGGAAACAAAACACAGCCAGTGTCTCTGGAAGTGTACTTTTGTTTAATGCATTAATGTGAAACTGTTTTAAGTTCCTTTTAGGGGTCATACCAACTTATGACTTGACATGTTTGTTAAAAAAATGAATCTTCCTTTTCTCTCTCATTTGGTTTAATTTTGAGTAAAGTGCTCCTTTAAGGATTTTCCATTCACCTGAAGAGCAACAAGGTGCACCGACAGTGGAGCACATTACACAATGCCAACTTTACCCTTGACAGCAGTGTCAGTGTTTTATTTGTTGTTTCACTATGGTGATCAGACATAGTTGACAGTCAGCGTGGGCAACACAGCAGCTGCACCCTCACCTCAAATTCCCACCTCTGTTATGGCACTGGCAAAGGCACCAGAAAGCAGAGCAGCAAATAAGATAGTTACATTGTTCCTGTGGGAAGTCTAAAACTATCTAACAAAGCATGATATTGGAAAAGAGACACCATGATGTGAAAGTAAGGGGTTATTGTCCACTGCATTTTTCTTCACATAATCATGCAAAACACTTTTTGAGTTTTACGATTGTTGACTTATCCATCCATACTGTTAGCTTTGCCCGGAAATCCTGAATAGAAGAAACATTAAGAATGAGATACGCTTTATACCCTTTGTTGACAGAACTGATCAAAATAACTTTTTCTTGTCTAGATGGAAATTGTAGTTTCAGTGACATGGGTGAAACAACATCAGATCAAATGTACAGTAAAGGTATTACATTTATTTTAGCCATAATATATGCATGTATAGTACTGTAAGACCCGTTTTTTAACATAATATCATTGGTTTCTTTAAACTTTATTATATTTAATTATAATTAAATGGTTCTGAATCTGTAAATATGGAAAAAACTGTGCACTTTTCACAAATGTGTGTTGTGAAAGAGCAAATAACCCCGATATTTCAAATTCCTTTAATTAAAGAAAACGTTTAAAGTAGAAAAGATTAATGTGTTGTGTTATGTCAAGTCCTCAGGGTGGAGCTAGCTAGACAGTTATCAGAGTAAACTATTCTTGTACCTCCATTTGGTGGCGCTGCATATCCAAACCTGTAGAAAACACTGCACAGCGTAGAAGAAGACAAGACTTCACCACGACTTTGACGATTAGCAACAGAGCACTGACCTTCTCACTGCAGGGACAAACTGAAAGGTAAGGGAAGAATATACACTTATTAAGCAAAGTCACTTCATTCTAATCATAAAAACCGTTGTTGTCTCACGCCAGGAATTTGAAATGAAGCTATTATCTGTACTTAGTGTAGCTTTGTTTGCTATTCTTGCAGGTGTACTCAGTTAGCTCGCTAGCTTCCTGCTACTAGCATTCTCTATGGTTGTACTGTACAGCTGAGAACATGCTAACACGCTAGCATCTATCATTGATTGAAATAGTTAGCTATACAAGTTTAATTACATCAACATTGATATCATATATCTATATAACCGCTTTGAATACTCTCGTTTGATTTAATGGGTGTGTATTGTACACATAAAGCTAACGATGACAGCCAGGTTGTAATGTTAGCACTATTAGCATTAGCCAAATGACGTTGTTGTCAGTAATGATAACTTATTTAACATGTCAATACAAATAATGCGTCGTTTCCCTATAACAGTAAATGCATTGAGAAGTGAATGCATGCCTTTCTTAACATGTTCTTTTAATCAGTATTTCACAGGTTTCCAAAGTCCTTAGCAAGGCCTGACATAGCTAAGGGTCACTGTAGCTTTAAGCAACCCAGATAACTTGATATCGAGTAATGTTAACAACATTGTCTCAATGCAGGATTCAGCTACAAAAACGTAGCTTTAGTCAACATTACAGCAGTATAAAATCGATTATGCCGGAAGTAGGACCCATTTAAAGATTAATTAAATATCCAAAAATAGTTCTAGGCAAGTTTATTTATAGAATACCTTTCAACACAAGTCAATTCAAAGTGGTTTACTGAAAAACATTAAGAGATATGTGCAAGATATAGTTCAGCGGAATCACATTTATAAAATGGCATTTAAAGACCTAGCAAGAGAGCACAAGATCAGCAAATCAGTAAAATGTGAATGAAGTTTGTTGTCTCTCAAAAAATGAATGACCCTTTTTAGGTTAGTGTTTCCGATGTTCCAATGATGCCTACACTGAAATAAACTGCTGTTTGAGATTGTACATACTTACACATTTTACATTAAGACTATGCCCTTGCTGTTTTTCTCCCACAGATGGCTGGGAGCGCATTTGCAAGCTTTTTGACCAAGATGAGCCCTTACTACACTAAGGCCTACCAAGAGGTCTGGGTGGGAGTTGGCCTCTATACATTCGCATACTCCAGACTTGCTTTTGGAGGTGAGTTGAACACTTTTGTACAGTGTGTTGAAATTGAAGTCCATAATAAAAACAGTATGTAGAGTAATGTAGTTGGTTTTTTGTTATGTATTGGGACATCTGTTTCCGAATTTGCTGTCATCACTTTGATCATATATTGTGGTTCTCATGAATTGATCAACTAAAATGAAGGGAAGCCGTGATAAAGGTGACATTTGTTGTGGTAAATATGATACTGGAGTTTTAAAACAGTTTAGCTCGACTTGTTACAAATACTTGGGATCTCATGACATGCTTAGTCCCGAGTAAATGTAAGCAGCTGAAGTTGCTTGGATACTTAAAAAGCTGTGTTTCAGTGGTTTGGGAACATTTGAATTAATACCTTTCTGTTTCTTTCTTTCTCAGGCAAAAAGGCTGTGGATGCAAGTAAGTAGCCATACATTTTTGTTTATTAATACTATAGGAGTACCTGGTATTGGTAAATAACATAGCACTGGTGGGCAAAAGCATAATTGTTCTCACACAAAATATAATGCTAGCAAAGTGGAGGGTGTTCATCTTGTCCCCCAGATTGATAAAAACAACCTGATCAGCTTTCTATCAATGTTAGCTAGCTTGCCTGCAACCAACTTGACTCAATACGTTGTTATTCTGACCTTGCTTGATTACATTGAATTTTGTTTGGTTTTAAACGTGTCCTTTTTGCGCTCTTCTTTTGCAGAGCCTGCCCATTAAGTCTTCCACCATGCCAACCAACCCTCCCCCTGCTGTGAAAATGTGGCCCCATCGTTAGTCCAGAAGTCCAGCTTCACATTTGAATTTTTGTTAATATGGAACCAATAAAGTTGCTATCTAAAACGTATCATTTTGTTGTTGGCTTTGTTGGGGCTATAGAGTGTAGTCACATTATTTTGTTCAGCAGTAACTGTTATTATAAAAACAGAGAGCAGATTATGGTGTCTATAGAGAAATAGGACTGGGGAATATATCCATATTGTGATATGAGACAAGATATCTTAGATTGAGTTAATCGTAATATGGAATAAATGTAGTCTTCCTGGTAATACATTAAATGTATGTTCTCTGAATTCCCCAGATTTCAGAGAATGCTATCTAATGAAAATAAATCTAATGCGTACATATTTTGTGAAAGCATTACATCTAACATAATATTGTTGCATTATCAAAGTATTAGGTTAAACATTGTGATATTAGACTTTCTTCATATTGCCCTGCTCTACACCGCATATGAATGTATTTCAACATGGTCGATACCACTTCTAAAAAAGGGATGCTAGCTAGTGTGGCGCTAAGACTTGAATAATACTTTTGGACATATCATCAGTAGACATTTTCTCTAACTAACTACTGAATCTAAATTGTGTCGATGTTTAAAATGGGAGTAAACAACATTCATAACTATAAATCCATCCAAAAATCTGTTATTAAATCGTTTTGGTTCAGTATGTATTATGCAGGCCTTTAGTTGTAGTGTTTGCCATGCAGTTGTGCTACAATGAGTGAGCTATTAAAAGCTAATGAATCACAGTTTGAGTTTACGTTTGAACTAATTGACCGACAGAATAAACTACAGCACTGCCATATTTGGTCATGAGTGGATGTGTGAGTTGTCGGTTAGGCAAGGCATCACTAATTTAATCAACAATGTGTGAGGGGATTATCCCAATTGAGCCGAACTACAATACATCCAATCTGCACACTCAACCCTTTTTGCTTTTACATCAGAACTACTCACTCTGTTTTTTTTTTGGCACACTGCAACAAGTTTGTTGGCAAAAAACCGACAACAAATGAATCCGTTTCCGTTTTCAGTTTGGTTCAGTGAACTAAGAGTGATTTGACCAGAATCCTGCCTGGGGCAAAAGAGGTTTAGTGCCGAGTGAAGAGATGGATAAACTGATTCCACTTCTGCAACATCACTACTGTATGTGTGCTAGAAATGGGACTTCTTTAAATGGAGTCAATACTCTGAAAATTGTAAATATGAAATGTTGTTCTTATTCGGAAACTATCTCTCTATAACCTCATTAGTTATATTAAATCTAAACATAACATTCACCTCAAAACCAGTTAAAAAAGAATATGAACATTTTAGTAGTAGTAGCCTTTTGCAGAGCTGCTCTCCTCGGGACTGAGGAGAATTGTTTCTGACAGGAGGAATGAGATATACCGGTGTGTGGGCATTCATGAATTTGTTCTACTGTAATGTCACATCATTAAATACATGTCTGGCCTGAGAGTCTAGGGGAGCTGTCATGGTTGCTTACTGCCCCTGGTTTCAAGTTTATCATGCCGGCTATACAAAGTGCATCGACTAAAACATCATGACGGCCCCTTATATTTCATATACTGTCTTTACTGTAGCTGTTTTAGGGATTGGAACATTTAGCATGTATAGTACATATTATTCTGGATTATTTCTGATAAAACATTAACTTTTAAAATCACATTTTAATGTTTTAGTTGGCTAATTTTGTCGGATAGTAATTGTCTATGTTTGTATGTTTTTAGACTTTAAATCTTTGTTTTGTAAAGCACTTTGAATTGCCTGTTTTGCACTGCCTTACTATTCCTAAAAAACATATTTAAATCACTTTAGTAAATGTACCACCCTGAAGGTACCTTGGGAAGAAATATTGAAAAAATCCTACCTAGAAAAGTCCCTGCATCTTTCACCTAACCTGCCACCCACACACCAGATTCACCTCTGTGGACAAAGTGCTGCAATAATTGATGAGAAAACATGAAGCTACATGGCAGGGTATCAATCAAATAAGCTTAGGCCAGATAGAAAGGAAGCTTCTGCATATGTGATCTCCATTATAAATGATAATAAACTCGTTTGTGCTGTCTTGTTCTCGCGTATGTGTGGGGGTGGACAAATCCTGAATGACAGAGAGGGAGAAAAAGAGAGAAAGATCTTACTCTCCCTCCCACCCCTTTTGCGCACCGACTGTGACTGCGCTCCCTTTTTTCCTACATTCAAACATGGCGAAACTCTTTGCCATCATACCACCACCACCCTCTCCATCTCCATCGTTATCACCACCGCTATTATCTTCCCCGTTATCAGCAGCACCCTTATCTCCGGTAGCGTGATGACCCGGGAGGATGGAGAAGTTGTCGGCGAGCCTGTCGGAGATCACTTGGAGCCCGTTGGCGCTGCCTTTGGACGCGGTGGTCAGCAAGTTCCGTCTACCTACTCTGGTGCGCTTGGCACACGGTAAGAGACTGCCGGTACCGGGGGAAACCACCTTTAAATAACTTTTAGCAATGTTGCATGACAACTATTAACTGGCTCTGACGTTCCACCCTTGTTACAGGAATCATGACAGTAGGAATATTTATGACTAATATCGCATCCATGTCATGATAAAAGAAAAGTGTGTAATATGTTATCGAGGTGGATGTGTTTAACACGGTTTTTTTATGTGAGTAAAATCGCAGGGTGTGAGAACAACTGAAGCAATTTACAGAAAAATCTCAACAGTTTCAAGAATGGAAGGAAAATATATCGCTTCCGGTAAAAGACTTCAAAATAAATTCCCAACCTTGAAGGTTTTAAGAGAAGTAACACCTTTTACATGCCTAACTAACACTTTTAAATAATAAAGTTAAAACCGAGATGTTATCAGTGTTTGGAAGTTATGGGCACATTTGCATAATCTTGGCAATACCAGTTATATTCTCTCTAGCAAACAAATACAATATTTTTAAAATCTAGGCACGTATATTTTAATTGGGATTAATAGTAGTTTAAAACAAAAAATGTGTAGGCTACATAACGAAATATGGACAAATAAGTGCTGCTTATCTTTCTGACATGCAGTGGTAGATCACAGTCACCAAACTAGAGGTTATTACCCAAATGTAATATCATCCCATGTTAATGAATGATATATTGTTACGTTTACACTCATAATTTCTGTAGTTTACATTGTTCGTAAACTACAAACACTATTATATTGTTTACCAACATTTGAAGATGCTGTTTTTTTACTAAATGACAGAGTTTAGTTGTCGATAAGTATTATGCATGATACTTAAATAATGAAAATGAATAATAAGTTCCTGGCAACTGAGTGTTTTGCTAATGTAACATAACTTAATTTGCCTAATGGGTTCAAACAAAACGTTGCATATTTGCTCTAAACTAAAATAGCTTTATAGTGCATACATTATTCATAGCTCTTTCAATAAAATGAGCACTGCCTTTCAAATGACAAAAAAGGGACTGATTGTAATTTGTTATTTCTTATCATTTTTTTTGCAATGTGTTGGTCATTATTGATGTAATTAAAGGAAAAATAATAAGTCAAAATACTTTTTGGAGGGGTAAAAGTATAAGATATATTGGCACAATTGATGCTCTTATTTTGAAACTACTTGTGCCCAGTATTTCCGTTATTATTTCGTTTTAATCTGGCCACCTTGATGCAGCTGCAGCATTAATTCTCGGACAGCGATTTATTTAGTTCATACACCAACTCGGGAATCACTCAGAAACATTTATTATCAGTTTTCAATGCATTTGTTTTATGTTTTTCCGCCAACATGATTCTCTCAGACTTGGTGTCTTTACTTTGGGAAGGGTCGCTGGGTGTCATGGACAAAGTTGTTCCAGTCCAGCGAGTCCCGGAAAGCCACAAAGTGTCTGTTGTGTTGCTCAAGTGCTGCTCAATTCTTTTCATATGTAAATGCTGTAATCTGTCGGTGAATGTGGTGAATACTAACGAGAAGCGACGAGGAGGAAAGCCTCCAACTTTCCTTCGTGGGCAGAAGCGCGCACCCGAGCCGTGTCCGAAAATTACGCACCTTACTTCTGGTGGCGCGCGTGTCATTGAGAGCACCCGTAGGTGTTTATTAACTGCACTGAAGTTAACTCACACAGATGCCTGCTTGTTTGCAAAACCAGCCAACCCAGATGGTTAGTTATTAACAAAAGGGCATGATGTCAGTATTTCATGCAAACAACAACAATGTTTTTCTGCATGGAGAGAATGTGGTTCAGTGGTAGCCTTAGTGAGTGTGGGGGTGTAATTCACTGTGAAGGGGGCTACAATTCAATGCTAAGAAATCAAATACTTACCCTACAAATCCATTAAAGAACATTGTTACATAAAGGCAATTCTCAAACATGTCAAAACATTAAGTTTCCGTTAACCCAAATCACATTTAAACATGTTCTCACGTCAATTAAGTAGAATTAGCTGTGGAAGTAACCAGTGGAAAGTAAGGTGTACATTTACTTGTGCTGTAAAAATCGTCTTGTACTCTACTTTTTTTAAATTATTTTATACCTTTACTCACCTACATTTCAGAAAGAGTACTGACTTTTTACTTCACTACATTAAAATCATCAGTTAAAATATATAAATATGTAAAGTTGGCATCCATCCGCTGCAATGATGAACTGTTGCTGCAACATTTAAATTTTAAACGCCAATCTGTTTAAGGATTATTCTCACGTGTGATACTTGATCGTTTAAGAACCTTATGTTGCTGATAAAAGGTGGACTACTTTTATATTTTTATTGTGTCTTGTTGCTACCGGTTTGGCTGTTTAATTGTTGGATCCTCACCTTACTGTTGACAGTTGTCAGCATTTTGTATTATTGGTTCGAAATAAAATCCAATGATAAACAAAAAGGTATCTTTTACTCTTTTTCCATTGCAACTTTCAAAAAATGTAAGAAATTGGGTTGTTTGCAATGGCTTCTTTTCACTGAAACTCATGACTTTTTACATCCAGCACCCTAATGACTAGTGGGATCTTGCAGTAACTCATATAAACAGCAATGTTTGTGAGTCATCCAGAGCAACCATATTGTTTATGGAAAATGGCAATACTGTTGTTTACAATTCTTGCTTTGAACGGAAAAAGTCACATCCATTGTTCTGGTCTGGTAGCTGAAGTTTTATCGATGAGAAATACAAGTTTATTTGAGTGGCTCAGTAACCACACGGCATAACATTGGAAAATATGTCTTTGTGATTTGGGCCTAAAAATAATTTAACATTTCTGACATGTCATCTCATCTGTCCGGTGTTTGTTTTCAAACCACAACCTATCCATCAGTAAGAAGAACAATACATGTGCATTAATGTAATCTATGTGTAAAGGGTAGTGTGTGAACGTACCACTGTGCCATCAGCGGAAATCAATGCTGTACATGATGGCTCTAGAGCTGTGTGTGTGTGTGTGTGTGTGTGTGTGTGTGTGTGTGTGTGTGTGTGTGTGTGTGTGTGTGTGTGTGTGTGTGTGTGTGTGTGTGTGTGGGGGCTGTGTAATAATGGGTTGCCAGTAACATAGCGCCATCCTGATCAGTAGGTTAGGGGTGGTGAACCATCCTTTATAGTGGTAATTATGGACACTGAATCCTAAATGCATGTATGTGTGCTTGTCTGTGGGGAGTGTTTTACATTACATTACAGGCGCTTTTACCCAAAGCAACTTACAATAAGTGCTTTTCATTTACTGAGCTATATAGTGTGATCTTAAAAATGTAAATCTGTTGTTTCATTATGTGTTCTCAGGCCGGTAGACGGTTTGTTAATCCTAATTAATTTGTGTGTGTGTGTTCCAGGTGAATGTGTGGAGGGCTTGTCGGAGGAGGATGTGGTTCTGTTACACTCCTGTCGTCAGTGGACCACAGTGACTGCCCACAGCTTAGAGGAGGGACACTACGTTATCGGACCTAAGATAGACATCCCTCTGCAGTACCAGGGTGAGTGCGCACACACACACACACACACACACACACACACACACACACACACACACACACACACACACACACACACACACACACACACACACACACACACACACACACACACACACACACACACACACACACACACACACACACACACACACACACACACACACACACACACACACACACACACACACACACACACACACACACACACACACACACACACACACACACACACACACACACACACACACACACACACACACACACACACACACACACACACACACACACACACACACACACACACACACACACACACACACACACACACACACACACACACACACACACACACACACACACACAGCATATGTATAGAAGCACGCTCAAAAATGTCCTACTCAGTCAAAGATTTGTTCTCACCCTAAAAGAAAAACAATTTCTCACTAAATCACTCTGGGGGGACAAATGTTGGCCAAGTTTAACCTTTTCCACTTACTCTATTTTTGTTGGGACAAAAAAAACTAAACTAAAGATACTAAAGACAGTAAGATAGCAATGATAAACTGATAGTGGCAAGTCATGTCTGATGGCTTGCTCTAAAGATAAATGAATTAAATGCAGTCAGTTCAAGTTTAGTCATGTATTCCCACGTGAACTCATGAGAATATGTCTTGAATGAACACATAGAGACGATACAAGGGGAAAGGTCTTCCATTTGTTGATTAACGGTAATCAATCATGAACTTGGCAGATCAAACTAAAAAGATTAGATGTTTAAAGTAGGACATGACACTGAGGCAAAATATTCCTAGAATCAAGAAAACGAGTCCCAGTTAAATGTATGACTTGGCAGAAAAATCTGGCCCTACCCAACAAGCACCCACATATTAAAAAAGATGTTATATACATTATGTTTGGGATGGAAGAAGACATGGAACTTATCAATACAGAATGATACTGTCAAAGTGTGGAGTACGACGAGTTTAACAACTGCAAAGTAACTTAACAAGACAAAACAGGAAAACTCTTATTTTAGGGGTTAATCAAATAAATTAACGTCTAAACAGCTAGGTGCAAACATGTGGGCGAAAGCACCACCGGATATAGTACATATTGGATTAGATAATCATTTCCAACATGTGCCGTATATGGTCACATTTAAGGATACTGATTAATGCACGGACACATACTCACAGCTGTAGACAGTAGATGTGACCTTGTGAGTCCTCCTGTCCATTGGTCTGTCATCTTCCTGCTGAATGAATCCTCCAGGATGACCTCACCGGAGCTCCATCCCATTGATGGGACTGTACGACCGGTCACATTATTCGCTGTGTAACTGGATCCTAATGCGTCTTATTCATTGTTTCCTCCACTGATGGAGTGCTGATGTCACCTCACACTGCTGCCGCCTCTCAGGCTCCTTTTCGGAAGAATGAAAAAAAACAAGAGTGGTAGGGGTTTTGGTGAGATCATTGTCATTTTAGACATTTCAGCATAATATTGGCAGTTAGGAGCAGACAGGTTAGTCCAACATATATAATTGTAAGAGTTGTTATTAATAGGAGCCGTCTAGGTTAAATAATGGTGGTCAAAGCATAACAATTGGCCGTACCCTCGCCCCAGAAACTTGTGGCTAGCCGAGTTGAAATTCCCAACGCGAGGAGAATTGGATTCATGTGCAGAGTTGGTGGTATGATTAGTCTAAATTCCTCCCCGACCTGGTCTGTTTTGACATTTAATTTGAGGGGGTCAAGATTATTTGTCTTAACCATCATCTGGCTGTCGGATGATCAGATGGATTTCTGACGTGTCTGCCAAGCTGTAAAAAATACAAAGCATTAGGTCCATGCTTTTTGTGTGTCCATTTTTGTTGTAAATTCTGCCGTGAAAATAGTACAAGGAACTAAAATAGTTGCGCTGTTTGAATATGGGCTTCACTGTATCAAGTAGGTACTAGCAAGAAATTCCTAATGGCTTTGGTATTCTTTATTTGAAAAGTGTTATTTTATTAAAAGTATATTGTATTATATCAGACAAACATTCTTTTCAGTTGTGGACAATTTTAATCATACAATCGAGAAAAGCCAGACAACTAAATCGAAATGTATGCATACTTTAGGACTACCTCTCTGTCTCTTTAAATAACAGGTGAGTTGTTGTTGAATCAGAAGCCGGTGATGAGCTAATGTCTGTGTGATGACTTCATGCAGGAAGTCTAAATAAGCCTAGGAGGAGAGCAATATAGGTTCCTCCCTGGGGATAGACAACAGGATGCTCCCTCCTTCTCATCCTCTCTGTCTGTATCCTCCTCTGTCCATCAGTGAGGCAGTCAATGAAGACTGAAGGGTAGAGGACAGAAAAGCTGAATGAATGGGTTTCAGGGAAGCCAGTGGCGCCACTGCCACCCCTGTAATGTGAAGCTGGTGACCAAAGCCTGATGTGTGGGAGTTAACAGCCTCTGTGATTCAGTTTTTCTTCTTGGAACTAGGGCTGAACGATTAATCGTACATAAATCGCGATTTCAAATGATGCAATTATCAAATCGCAAAGCCTGCAATTTTTTTTAACATTTTTCTTTTTACATAAAAAAAAAGAAAAAAAGTTGTTGTTGTTCTTGTGTGTCAGTCATCCACACCAATCAGAAGTGCTGTGCTCCACATGTACCAGCCATTGTTAACCAATCAGAAGTGGCCCATGATAGAAGGTGATAGACAGATTGATCCAATCACCTGCCAAGTATTTTTGAAAGTGCCTGCCCTTTCCAAATGGCTTCCAATGGAGCTTTCCTAGTTGGTTTGGTGAAACCATCTGAGTCAGGTTAGTAATGCTCCATCACATGTTTCTATTACAGGGTGAATCTTAAACTGAAGCTTGACTTTAAAGCAACCCAACGGAAGTTTCATGTAAGTTTAGTTCTTTCACTCGTAGCTCGGGCTGCGGGGGTGCTAGAGACGGGAGCACGTTGATGCGACCTTCCTAGCCGGAGATATGGCCGCATTTTACAATAAACTTCCGTTGGGTCGCTTAAAAACAAATATCGCAAATCGAATCGCAATATCTGTCAGAAAAATCGCAATTCGATTTTTTTTCCCAAAGTCGTGCAGCCCTACTTGGAACTACATTGTTCTCAGAGTAATAGTATGTGTATATGTTGTTACATCTCAGTTCTAGCTCAATAACCCTCTTACTTATACAAATGTCTGTAGTTTTGTTTGGTAAAGTGGCAATTCTGTTTAATTTCCTCCTCAGTCCTTCTGGGAATGTTGGTGGTGGGTTTTGTTGAAAAGTAGCACTTGCTGGTATTGTTCGGTGGGTGGAAGCTCCTTATCCTGGGGGCTCTGTTGAATTTGAAGGTGGGGGGTGGAGGAGAAAGAGGGGGAGAGAAAAGGAGGGAGGTGCTGGCGTGGAGGATGGGGGAGTTTGGTATTCAGCTCTGCCTCCCAGACAAAAAAATCTCATGTCTCTTTCCCTCACCCACACACAATCTGAGAGCCAAGGAGAAAAAAGGAAGATCCTTCAAGGGTTGCATTAGTTAAAAGCAATCCCAGAAACTGCTAAATGAGACGAAAGGATAGTTGGATTTTACAAAGGCTAATTTGGACGCATCCTAAAATGCTTCTTTACAACCTTAAAAAGTTGCACAAGCCCCAAAAAGTGGTTCCAAGAACACAAACACAGTTACTGGAGTGCATGAGTGTAAAGGATTTACAGACGGAGGAGGGGATGAGCAAGAGGAAGAAAGGGTGAAAGTGTGCGAGTGTATGTGTGAGTGTCTCCATGGTGATGTGTCTCTGCTCTGCGTGAGAATGGGGGTCCTTTATTGGTTTCCATGCCAACCCCGTTGGCCTTCGATTGGCAAAGAGCTGGTGCCAGGTCAGAGGTCACAGAGGTGTTTTTGTATTCTCCTCGTCCAAACAGTGTCTACTGCGGAAGTATGTGTTTGAAGAAGGACTGTCAAAGATCAAATAAAGACAGGACAAAAACAACCTCTCCTTTCCTTCCTTCTTCTCTCCTCTTTCCTTGCCCCCTTCCTCTTCTTCCATCTTTCTCCTTACCCTGGGCTCCCTCTGTCTTATGCTTCCCTCACTTCCTTATCGAACTTACTTCCTCTTCCCCTGTCCATATTCGTATCCACCTCCTTATCTTCTATTTCTTTTGTCTTTCTTCCGTACTCTGTAGGGAAATTCAAGTTGTTGGATGAAGACCGAGACGTCAGGGACCCAATCCAGTATTTTTCCAGTGTGGAGGAAGTAGCTGGAGTCTTCCCTGACCGGGTCTTTGTCATGGAGACGATCACGTTCAGTGTCAAGGTTTGAGAAACATGAGAATATCCTAATTCAAGTTTCTGTCATTCAATGTCATGTCCACACGCTCATCATGCATGTATATGCTGCAGGTGGTTTCAGGGGAGTTCAGTGAGGACAGTGAGGCCTACAGCTTCACTCTGCAGGCTGGAGATGAGCTGTCACTCATGGGGAAGGCGGAGCTTCTCTGTGCCACGCCTTCTAAGGAAAAGACGGGACTGACCGCGCTCTTGAGACGCCTCGGAAAGACTCCTAGAAGTACGTAAGACGAAGCTTTTGAGCTATATGTTTTATGGAGTGCTTGGAATTAGGTGTGCATTCATCCTTGGAAATTGATAATATATATTGTCTATATGTATACAGGTCTTTGTGAAGTGACTGGGGAAATAAAGACACTGGATGCAATGCTTTCTCAGAGGGCAGCCACAAGTTGTCTCCGCTCATGTGGAACAATCTGACCTTTACAATCTCTTTGACTAATCCTCTCTGTCTCTTCAGGTAAAACTCCCTGCCTTGTCTGTATGAACCATCGCACCAATCAGAGCGTAAGCCTACCCTTTGGTTGCCGTGGACGCTTTTGCACACGCTCCCCTCTGGAGCAAGGCATGCTGGGAGGGGAGCACACTGTACGCAGCATCATCGAGAGGGTTCGCCTCCCCGTCAATGTGTCGGTGCCTTCACGACCCCCGAGGAACCCCTACGACCGGCACGCAGTCCGAGAGGGCCACCGCTACAAGCTGCTGAACATCGTGAGCAAGACGGTGGTGCTCTGCATGGTGCTCCGCCGACAGGAAGTCTCCCCCTCCCACTTCCTGCTGCTACGCTGCATGCCCCGGTTCAACGTGGCCGAGGCCTCGGGTCACACAGCGGCGCTGGAGAGCCTCCTGTTGAGACACGCCTTCGACCCAGATGCCTACTCTCGAGCTGTGAGAGAAACCAGGCCAGAGCTGGAGTGTATGACAGAGGAGTGTGTGAGCCCGCGGCGCTCTCGCATGTGTGTGTCGGGTCAGGACTCCTTGGCACCGGCACTGCAGCACCTGTCCATGTGCGGGTATGGGGGTGGGGACGGCCTATCACAGCGCTGCAGGGACTCTCTTGGAGAGCGGCTAGGGGAGGGGCCAGGTGAGGAGCGGGAGTATGTGACTCCGGAGTGGACTGATGCTGAAATGAGGACCAGTGAGGAAATCCCTTACGAGGAACTTTGGACCAATCAAAACGCAGAGGGCTTGGGGAAGGAGCCGAACCTCATCTCCTTTCATTCCACGTCCTCATTGGACGGGTCTCTTGGTACCGTGGTGACCAGAGTGTCTACCCCGCCGCCTGTACCTCCAAAATCTGATGCTGTGAGTTCACGTCTTCACCTCCTGTCCTTCTGTCTCTAATCCTTCATATCTATCCACAGCAGCATCCGGTTGTTAAAAGTCCGGATGCGTGTTTTGAATTATTCATACACAACAGCTTTTAAACCTCACTGGCCACATTCACACACAGACGGATTTCCTGGAAAGCCTGCCATACACTCACAGTACATAAATACACATAAATATATATAACCAATTATGCTGGTACACGTGTGCTGTAAACTGGAATATGATATTTTTTCAGTAGCACTGAGGCAGCTTAGTCCTCTGTTACAGTGCAATACTGATGGAGCCTTTGGTCTTAATAACGACTACATTATTATTGATTTCACAATGAAAGATGCCTATAAAGCAGCAGTCTAGCAATTTATGTGATTAGAATAGAAAACAAGATTGTGTTTACTCTGCATCAGCTCTACACTTCCCTGAAATCCATTATCAGTAAAACAGGGTGGATGGTATTTGCTTTGTCTTATAGTGTCAGTAATTGTTTTAGTATGAATTAGGTTTACTCATTAGGAAAGGCAACAGGACTTTGGTTCTTTATAATAGAGATAAGCGATAAATGTACTGCACTTGAATATATAAGACAATCTTTAAAATAAATGTTAATGTTAAAAGAGAAAACTGGACTTAGAACAAGGTTTTTGTAGCTGTGCTATTCTCCCTTGGATTTCTTAAGTGGTTCTTCAAGGCTAATGTTAACATGTTTGTAGGGGGAGAATAATCACACTTTGTTTTGCTTAATTAACTATTTTCTGGTGGCAGCTAGCAGCGGTACACAGAGAGAGTGTGGGTGTTGAAGTCTGCTGTGCATCTGGATTATACCCTGCCACACACAGTGTTCTTCATTCCCTGATATGTAGCCTGCCAAGACACAGTGTGTGTATGAGGCGGGGGGGTTTGTTTGAGGTGTAAAGGTCACCAAGTTTGACATTTACCAAGCAGAACACAGAGAGTAGCCAGCACACACACACACACACACACACAATCCCATAAAACCTCCTGAGTAGTCCAGTTTTGGGAGTTAACTTTTCTGCTGTGGTGATTCTCATTCTGTGTGTGTGTGTGTGTGTGTGTGTGTGTGTGTGTGTGTGTGTGTGTGTGTGTGTGTGTGTGTGTGTGTGTGTGTGTGTGTGTGTGTGTGTGTGTGTGTGTGTTTAGGTAAGAGAGGAGTGTCGCTACTTGATCGCCCCTCCCGTTCCCCCCCGCTGCTCTAAAGGAGGCTCCATCTCCAGTCCAGTCCCCAGTCCTCCTGTTCCCCCTCGGTTCCCCAAAGCCTCCACCTCCCCGAGGCCCAACCTCTCCTTCTACTCCTCTGGACTTCAGGACAGGTACAGTGGGAGTGCTATGTTTTTGAATGCAACAAATCAGCGGTGGCGGTTGATGTGCTTTCAGGTGAATTGAGCTAAAGAAATCAGTGTTTCCTAATCAAAGGATGCCACCAAATCTCCTTTGAAGCAGTTGATATACGAAAGTTAAGAGGGAAAATATTCACTTCCTTTGGGGAAAATAATTAAATAGGACCAGTGTCGTTAGATTTCAGCTCCCATTGGATCTAATGCTAACACAATGACTTAAACTATATCAATGTATAGCTACATATAGCACCCTCTCGCAAGACTTAGTATGAAAAGAGTAATCCACAGATTAAGAGGTGCCAATTTATAACTTCCCTGACTCAAGATGGACCAGAGGTCATTTTTTATTCAAAGCTTTTATCTTGTCTAAATGTGTGGCCTACAATATCAACAATGCAACCAGCATGCCAACGAATAGATGTTTAGTCGGGAGTGTTATTCGATCAAAAGCTCCAGAGCAGCCACTTAAGGGTATTGGTGGTATTTATATCAACTATGCTTAAAAGGGTTCAAAGCGAAACATATATATATATAACCACCAAGTTTAGCCCCATATTTAAACTACAGGTATTGATTACTTTTGACCTACAAATGACAAAATAAATGCTTACGGGGCAATAACATTTGGATATGGGAATATAACTAAACTATAGCCCAATATATGTATATGATTTCCCCTTTGTATTGGTGTTTTGATATTAGAACCTAACCTCACTTTCTCCTGCTCTGCTCCAGCTGCTCGCCCTCTCCGGATGCCTCCCTCTACTGTTACCCGTGCTCCTGGGGGGATTGCCCGGCCCCTAACCCCGCCAATCCTGAGCCAGTCTCTGCCAGCACTGCAGACCCCACCTCCGCCACTCCTCAGCCAGCACAGGCCACCTGGGCAGAGCCGTGGGTGGACTCCTTCTCCTCCTCCGGACCTCGACTCAGGCCTCCACAGAGTCGGTTTGCTCCTTTTGGGGCGTTAAACCCCTTCAACCGCCAATCCCCCTGCCCCTCCCCTGAGCCCACTCCCAATCCCACCACAGATTCCTCCAGAGGTGCAGAGGGAGGCGGGACGCCCACAGGGGTCACCGAAAGCTTGAACCCTGACCCCACCTGGCGACCTCCTGCTGACCTGTCTGTGCTCTCATTGGAGGAGGTGTCGGCCTGCCTGCGGTTCATCGGCCTATCAGAGGCAGCGGTGGGCGTGTTCCAGAGAGAGCGAATCGACGGCAGCCTCCTGGTGCAGCTGACCGAGGACATCCTGTCACATGACTTCCACCTGAGCCGACTGCATGTCACCAAGATCAAACAGTTCATACAGGGCTGGAGGCCCAAGATCTAGCACACACACACACACACACACAATCCTGATAATGTGCCTGTTGGCTACTGAGCCATCCTGAATGTGCCTTTCACTGTGACCAAGTGGCTGCTGAGCCCCACTGACTGAAGCTGAGACTTTGCTGAAGGAAACCACGCCACCCTGTGGTCAAACTGTCGAACTGACACTCGAGTCTGACTGCAAATTCCTGTCTGAATCACAGACTGGGACTAGTTTACTAACAAATAGCTACAAATGAGAGCTATATGATTAAAGTTCCTTGTCTCAATTTGTCTTTGGGGAACATAGTCACGAAACATCGTTATACTTTGAGACAGCTAAAGGTTTGAGCAGTATATGGATTTGTGGGGCCTCCATGCCGCGGCTCCATCAATTCTGATATTCCTTCATTCTCCATATAAACTGGAGGAGTTTCATTTGAGTTTTTCTCATTATAAAAAAGGTGCATTGAAGTTAAAATTCCCTGCCTTTAATGTGGATGTTCAATAGGAAGGATGGTAAATGTAGGCAGTTTCCAGTGTATTGACAGAGAAAGCTGATTGCTCCTTTTTTCTCAAAACTAGGGCTGCTCGATTATGGCAAAAATCATAATCTCAATTATTAGGGTCAATAATTGATATCACGATTATTAAAAATATTATTAAAACATTTACTTTGAAAACATCCATTTATTGCAAAAAAAAATGTTGAACATTATGTTTTGAACAGTTCATTACCCTGAACTTTAAGTATAATTCAACTGAAAAAAATAAAATAATAATACTAATAATACAAAAAAATAAAGAAAATAATCGTTTTATTTCGATTACGTTGTTTTCGTAAATCGTAATTGCGATTAAAATACGATTAATTGAGCAGCCCTACTCAAAACTGTTCCATCATTGCCCTGATGTACCAGGATGCATTGCACATGAGCTTCTGACACCAGGAAGGTCACAGAGCAATATCCTCTGGCGCTCAAACACTGAACCTGTTCCCTACCTGAGTCTCAAGCACAGCCTTCTTTATTTGTTTTCATTTGTGTCCCATTTGTGCACTGAGCTCCAGTGACCTTAAATTGGCAAAAAGATTTAAAAAGTATTAGGAGATTTGAAGTTTGTTGTTAGAAGATTATTGAAAAGGAATGAGAAAGTAAAGAGAAATCTCAAAGTCAGAAGCACCCAATAAAGTATTTGTTGAGTTTCTGTTACTGATCAATGATTTACTGAACAATTTCTTAAGGCCATTATGTGCTTTGATAAATGTATTAACAATAACATTAAGGGAAACAAGAGATGTCCTTCTTTCTGTAGTAGGAAACACACGTGTTGCCATGCTATAATAAACATTTGCGTCGGAAATAGAGTTCTCAAAATATACCTCAGATATCCTTGATTTAGCCATGCATATTAATAAATGAAATTACACTTGTATGTTCTCATAGCTATATGTACACTTACTACATGACATTTAAGCTCCAGTAAAGCATGTGAAATAGGGTGAAAGGTCCAAGTCTCCATCAGAAATGTAACAATTATAAACTGATGAATTACTAAACCGGGCTTCACTGCTGCTGAAGAATAACCACAAGCTGTTCTAGTGCACCATCTTTGTGGTTGTATCTGCCCTGATGTTCCTGCCAGTCAGCATCATGTTCCTGTATCATGTGGGTTGCAGGTATTTTGAGCTGGTATTCCCCAAAGTGAGGTTCTTGAACTAACTGAATAATGTGTTGCTTTTATAAGCTCCAGAGCGCTTGCTGTCGTACAAGTTTGAAGGGTCAAAATAAATTATCATTTTAATGTAGGAGAGATCACACATGCAAGAATTAGGAAACCCTGTTAAAGCCCTAGAAAGCTTACGTAATATCTGCAATGGGGATGATGCAGCCAGGATTGATTGAGATGAAGACAGCACTGTTCGACCACATCTCCATCACCTGCCATGACAGTGTGTTCACCTGGCACCTGCATACACACAAACACATGCACCCATCTGATTTATCCTCATGTCACATCTCAGTGAGAGACAGGTAGTCAAGACTGTCACAAAACACAATCTCTCTGACATCATGTATGTATTGTCTCATACTCTCCTTCATAAACATGCACAAACACACTCACCTAAGGTTTTAAAATACAATTCTGTCAATCTGTTTTAAAAATACAAAAACAATACAAAAACCTTAAAAAACTGCCGGTTATTAGCTGGTCTTCACAGTAAGGCGACTCTCTGACATACTGTATGGTACCAGTGATGATGAAGATATTAACTACTCTTTATTTATTTTTAAAGCATTACACTGGACCCAACAATTAGGGCTTTTTAGTGCAATTAACTACAGTTTTAACCAGTTCAGTAGGCGTACAAAATATCAAATATTTTACCATTCTCAGTATAATTGAACAAATGACTTTTACTCAGTTTAAAAAAAATAATACTGATAGCTTGATACCAGTCGCTAACATCAAGCAGGCCTACTATATCAAAACACCATTAACATTTTATTAAATGAAACAGATGTTGAAATAGTAATTATGTATTACATATCTTACGATAAGAGATCGTTTAGCTGCAAAACTTTTGCACAAACAATTGTCATCTTCACCTGAAACTCTTCAACAAGGTGCTCAACACCTGTCCTCGAGCGCAGTTAATATTCTGACCGTTGGGGGCACAATAGTGCGGATAATAATATACGCCTAAATACTGCCGTTGCATAACATGTTCTTTTTCTAACATACATATTTTCTATTTGACAAATAAAATATTAAAAGATGTCGATATTACAGTGTTCAGTTAAAACAAACTCATACACAAAAGAAAATATGTACCCAATAATTACTTGACCGTGGTTTTCTTTCAGGCATTATCCTGGTCATCTAATATATCTGTGGGTCCTTGAATGCGTAGTTCGTGCTGCTAGTCTTGTGGAGCCGATCGTTTGACAGGGAAGAGGTGACGACGGAGACTTAACAAAAATACAGGTAAGCCACAAATGAACTATCAATAATAGTAAGACTAGAAGGCGACCAGACATTGTACAAACTCTGTAAATGTGTTCTTTTTCACAAAGCATAGTGGAACAGTTAAACACTGAATGGAAACTTTAGCTAACATGTAGCTACGTAGCTTCACTAGCTTGTATTTTGCTTTGTTTTGCTGTTTTTGTGGTTTCATACATGTGTCTTCTTTATTGGTGTCAATGTAACGTTAGGGCACAATAAAGGACATTGATCTGTAGACTGATCTGACCTTGTTTTAGTCCCATGATCCTGTATTTCTGTGTCTGTCATTCTCCAGGAGAGGAATCTAGGTGAAGGGTCAGAGACTGGAGGGGGTTGGGCTTTGTGACCGTCAATTATATGTCACATTGTCCCACATAATAAAAGATTGTATAAGACATATCTTATACATATATAATATACACAGAGGTGAAGGAAGTATTCAGATATTTTACTCAAGTTAAATTAGTTATTCTACAAAAATACTCTGTTACAAGTGAAAGTACTGCATTCATAAGTGTACTCCCAAGTATTGGCATATCAGATTACAAAATATTACATTTTTGTATTATAATAATAATTAACGTTGCACTTGGTAAAGGTTGGGATTATTTAAATTACTTTTCTTGGTAATTTATCCTATATACTACTTTATTGGTTGATTTATATTCTGTATTATAAATCCAGTAACTCAATTTGTAAAAAGTAAAACATTGCATCCAAAATGTAGTAGAGTTAAAATTTAAAGTAGCATAACATGAAGATACTCAAGTGAAGTACATGTGCCTCAAAATGTTACTTAAGTATAGTACTTGAGTAAATATATCCAGTCACATTCCCCCACTGAATATTTATATTTACGGTATGTATTCTTCCCCTCTTTAATGCAAAATACAAAATAAAACACCAACCACGTCAGATATCTTACCCTAAATTATGACTGTTATTATGTCTGGTAAATTCAGACACAAGTCACTGGGGCTTAAACGACCTTTTGCCTACAGTCGATCTTAGTATCACCTGAGAGGCTTTGCAGCGTGGTTATGTCACTCTCCAGGCTGCTCTGTCCACAGATGATATTGGTAAAAGTGTCGGTTAAGTTTTTGTTGAAAATGTCTTAGAGATGTTTCGATTCCACTTTATGATTATTTTGGATATGCATTTTGAGGTGCTGTTGAACTGTTTTACTATATAGAGAGGTATGCTGTTCTCATTCTGTGTTTATTGCATTAGCTGGCAGTTTGCTTTCCAATTGAAGTGGAAATTTGACTTTTATTTTATTTGAGAAAAACAAAACTAGTAAAACAAAGTATTTACATTTATTTCAAATGTTATTAATTGTATACAGGACCATGATTTTATTTATTTTTAAATCAGAACCCTGGTAATAACTTTGCAGTAACAATTCCAGTTTCTCTCTCTGCAGAACATAATGGCCGCCATGTTGCTGAGCACAATGCGGAGCGGCTCTGTCAGTCCTTCCTGGGCGGTGCGGTTGGGTAAGTCTATATCATTTTATTTGTTTTACAGAATAACAGATACATATATTCCTTATGCTGTGCGAACTAACATTTTGTGTAATTGAAAATATATTAAATAAAACATTTAATGATTCGATTGTCGTTGATGTTTTTTCTGTGTTCCTCAGCGGCACGCTCTCTCAGCACGACGTCCCCTCTGCAGGCACAGGGTAGGTCAACAATCGAAGTGATATGATTTGCAATCACCAGATTATAGTCTGGTGTTTCCAATATGAGCTATCAGAGTCTAACTACATGTTGCTTTCTTCATTTGCAGTTCAGACAAAGAGTAAAAAGACCCTGGCCCGGCCCGGTGTGAAGAACATAGTTCTGGTGGAAGGAGTCCGAACCCCTTTCCTTTTGTCTGGAACCACGTAAGTCTCTGCTTTTTTCCTATTGCCAACTTCAGATGGCTGGAGCCTCTGATTATCATGACTTTGGGAGGAAGAAAAACCTTTTGTTTGTGTTACAGATATGCTGACCTCATGCCCCATGACTTGGCCAGAGCAGCTCTGCAGTAAGTGTTATCCTATGTTTATTTATTTTTATTTGTGAATGGTTTCATGACACTATCAGATTTCAAATGTAGTTGTTAAAGCATACTAATGAGTCTGTTCAGGGGAGACATAGAGGAAAGTGGAGCAGGAATCTAAGGGGGGGTTGGATTAATGTTGATGATGAGTTTTTCAGCTAGGTCAGGATGTATTTTTTTTTCAATATCTATTCTGTCTTGTTTCCCAGTTTTTTCAATCTTAAAAAAAAGAAAGTGTGTTTTTAAAATATTATGTTTGGGTTTCCTCAGGGGTCTGCTGCACAAGACAGGTTTACCCAAAGATGCTGTAGACTACATCATATATGGAACAGTCATTCAGGAGGTCAAAACCAGCAATATAGCAAGAGAGGTAATGACACACACACACACACACACACACACACACACACACACACACACACAGATATTTGCTCTCACAAAATGGCTATATTATCTGGCGCTTCAGGTGCCTTTCATACGTTTCATTTACTCTCTTTAAGATAATTGCTAAAACATACTATTGATTAAAGGTGTTATGATGACATACAGTCCTTTCATGCATCTTTTTCTTTGTTTACCTCGATTTCAGGCAGCACTCGGCGCAGGCTTCTCTGACAGGATCCCAGCTCACACCGTCACCATGGCCTGCATCTCCTCCAACGTGGCTATGACCTCAGGTATGTCGGGGAAAGAAATCTCACATAAGTCACAAGAGATTCTCAGAGAAGACTACATTGTAGCCGCACACAACAATGATATTGTATATTTTGTTAGCCAATTGAGGACACGACGTACACACTTTGTCTGACCTTTGTTTGGCTCCCTCCTTCTCTCCAGCTGTTGGTATGATCGCTGCAGGACAGTGTGACTCTGTCGTGGCGGGAGGGGTGGAGTTCATGTCCGACGTTCCCATTCGTCACAGCCGTAAGATGAGGAAGACAATGCTGTCCCTCAGCAAAGCAAAGACTCTCGGCCAGAGGCTCGGTCTGATTGGCAGCATCCGGATGGCACACTTGTCCCCAGAGGTGTGTTTTATACATACTAAAAATCACTGTTTGTTACATTTGATTTGCAACATCGGTAATCACATTTCTTCTCCTGGATCTTTGAACATATATGTGTAAAACACAAAGTCTATATGGCCTGCGCTCCCATGATTTTATTCAGATGCTGGTTCCTAAAGTGAGAGCAGAACTGGGTAAAAAAGCTTTTAAATATCCTGCCCCTTATGCTCGGAATAACGTACAGAAGGAGCTGAAACTCACAGATTTGATCACTTTGGGGGAGTTCAAGTCCATCTTAAAGGACAGAGAACAAGAATCCATTGGTCGATGTGATTGCTCGTATATCCCGTCATTTGTGTTTTACAGCTGTATTCGTCTGCCTGTATTGTTTTGAGTTCATTTGTTGTAACTTTTTTCATGCTGCCCTCTTGGCCAGGTCGCTCTTGAAAAACAGATTTGAATCTCAGTGAGACTTTTACCTGGTTAAATAAAGAATATATATATATATATATTCCTTATGCTGTGTATATATATATTAGTATTTCCTCCTAAAACGTTTTATTCTGCGTGTAGCTTCCTGCTGTGGCGGAGTTCTCCACCGCTGAAACGATGGGCCACAGCGCTGACCGTCTGGCTGCTGCCTTCGGGGTCACCAGACTGGAGCAGGACGAGTTCTCTGTGCGCTCACACACTCTGGCCAAAAAGGCCCAGGACGCAGGGCTGCTGGAGGATGTCATCTCCTTCAAAGTGCCAGGTAAACCCCGCTTCACTCTTTAGACTGAGATAAATGACATTACACATTGAAGGGTGGTTGAATAGGTTGTAATGGTTTCTTTGTTTGGGTCATCGTGTACTAATGGTTATATTATTTTAATTTGTATATTTAATTTGTCTGTTGTATTTACCTGCTTGCTTTTTATTGATTTTATTTATTAGTGCTTATGTGAAGCATTTATTGATATTGTTAATGGTTGTGTTTAGAGCTAAAACAATGAATTCATTTACAGAAAATGCAACTATTTGGAGAATTAATTTATTGTTGTAGACATTCAGTCGTAATCCAAAGACTTGAATCTTATTACATTTGTATTTACAGAATATTTATTTTACTGTCTTTACCAGGTCGTGATATTGTTTCCAAGGATAACGGCATCCGTGTGTCCTCCATGGAGCAAATGGGAAAACTGAAGGCCGCCTTCATCAAACCTCACGGCACAGTCACTGCTGCTAACTCCTCCTTCCTGGTACACACACACACACACACACACACACACACACACACACACACACACACACACACACACACACACACACACACACACACACACACACAC